ATCAGCCAAGGATATTTTTGGTCATAATTCGATGAGTTTTCCAAAACAATTATTGGGCAATTCTGATCATAATCGTGATTATAGTATGAAGCCATGGAATCGTTGTAAAGATCCTCTTCATGCTAAAGATTGTCGTTGTGATTTTATGGATCGAAACAAGATTTGTAACGTATACACAGTTGAGTGTATTGAGAAACGTACTCGTGCATGTTGGGTTATTGATGGACAAGAAATTGGACCTTGGGAGTTTGGAGCCTATCGCTTTTTATCCGCACCGGCTGAATTTTTAGATATTAAGAAAGAAGATAATCAACGAATTGAAAATATCATTCGAGAAAATCTTACAACAGAAGATATATTAGCGGATCCGGTAAAGTTGGCGCCACGGCATTTTTATCAATCATTCCAGGATTTAGATTATATTAATAACTGTCAAAAAGAAATTTTAAATAAATTTATGAGACGTTTCTGGCAGCCAGTAACTTTTTATTTTTATGGTGATAGTGGTGCAGGTAAATCTAATCTCGTTCAAAAGTTATTTTCCAACGAGTTATATTCTAAATCTAAGAAGCAGAAATCAGGTTCGAGTTGGTGGGATGGCTACGATAAACATGAAATTGTTCTTTTTAATGAGTGGTATTCAGTGCTTGATTGGAATGATGTTGTTAAATATTTGAATGATATTCCAGAGAATGTTGAGCAAAAAGGCAAGACATTTGTGCCTTTTCTTGCCAAGTATGTCTTTATGACATCTCACAAACCACCAGAAGAAGCATTCAATTTTCGTCGAGTCAATATAAAAGATGAGACATCAACTCAACGTGATTGGGGGCAGTTCTATCGACGTTTAGATTATATTATCGAGTTTAGAGGTATGTGGCATGATGAGCTAGATCAGCGCACCACCGAGCTCATATTTCACAAAGGCTCAGAGGAAGATTTTCGCAACATGCTTTGGGATGTTAAATATGACGAGGGCGAGTATACATGTGAAGAGTTGAGAACTGTTATTCAAGAGCTTAATAAAGATCAGGATGGGGAAGTAATTATTAAGTCAGATCAGGTTTATTGGCGTCGTCACTTTCCCGAATTTAAGAAAAACTATCTACGTGATTATCCCAAATGCCATAAACTTTCTCGATATAGGCAAGAGCTTTTGCAACAATCGCAATTAGTTGTATCTTCAACTACATCGGAAAAAAGATCTCAAGAACATATATCCGGATCTGAATCTGAAACGTATTTTGATGATGATTCTGACTATAGTCGTCAACAGTCGATGGCCGAATCTAGCACTACTGCAGCAAAAAGACCTAATAAACGATTGAAACGTCGAATCGAACAATTTATAAACGATTCGGATCACGATGATGTAAATATATCAAACTCTCGTATGATGCTTGATGATAATTATTTTGTTCAAAGACCTATAGAGGTTATAGAAATGACCGATGAGTATGCCAATAATCAAGGTCGATCATGTTTAACACGGCGAGAAATTATAGAAAAGCAAAATGAAGAAAGCCGTCGTCTCAACGAGGAGAATGCGAATATTTAGTTAATAAGTATAGCTTAATAATTATGATTATATAGTAATTATTGGTCATTTTTATATAAAAGTCTTGATATATATATTTTTTAATGTATATTGTATTTTCAAAATGAATTTAAGTAATTTTTTGTTATTTAAAAATAATTTGGATAATTTTTTAATTCTAGTTGAACCATGGATTGATGGTGATTATAGAATAGCTTTTTTAAATAATTTTAAGTTTATTAATGATTTAACGAATTATAGTTTTGAGGGTAAGCGTGAAATTAAAGAGTTATTTTATTTTGACTATAATAAGGGGTTTCCAAGTTTTGTATTTTCTAATTGTGATATTTTTGGTTATAAAGTATATTTTAAAACTAAATTAATTTTAGAGTTTAACTCTGGAAAAGTTTATTCTTATATTTTACAAAAATTGAATTTTCTCGAGTATAATATGGCTATTATAAAAATACAAATGGCTATCAATCAATTAAAGACGTTTGTTGATACTGATATTGAGGCAGTACGTCAGAAGATGCTTAACGGATCTATTACTAGTAACTACTTAACTGGCGAAGAGGAAGAGCTAATCAAGACTATTTCAGAACAAATAGTCAGTTCATCTTTGGATATTTTGACGGATGATGATTTTGACGATCGAGAATACAAGATTCAGTATTTATTTGAGTTAAAAGAGCGTAAAAAAGAAAAGTTTAATATTAGCGATTGGAAAGCAACAAATTATAATTTGTTAGCTAATGATGAACAACTTTATTTTCAAATTTTAGAAAAACAATAATGTTTTAAACATAGAAACATGGACTGTATCTTGTGCCAGATGGTTTCAAGTGACGTGAAAATGTGAAAAATATTTTATTTTACATGTTTAAAATAATAATTTTATATATATAAATAAATACAAATCACATAAATTTATATTCTTCTAATAAAAATAATAAATATTTAACATCAAATTATTTTTTCCACTTGTATTCGATTCACTTTTTTGTGCTCAAGTCACATCGTGATTCACTTTTCAAATTGTATAATTGAATATCATCTTTGTCAAGTTCAATCAAAAAAATTGATCAGAAATAAATATGAAATAAATAATATTTTGAAATAATTTAAATATATAACAATAATTTTTGAAAGAAACATTGAAAAAAATAGAATACAAATT